CATTCTCTTCTATTCTCCCCGAACCCCCCGACCCCGCGCTGCCCTTTTTCTCCTCCTCCAGGCACACGGTTCAACCCTGCAGTTCATCCAAGCAGCACCATGGCTGGGCCTCGTGCCATCCCCCAACCATAACCGTCTGAATCAACCCCTCCGACCTGCCCTGTCCCCCCTCCTGCCCTTACTCCTTTCTGTCCTCTCCAACCACCCCTTCTCCTCCCCCATCAGGCCCACACCTCCACGCTGCAGTTCATCCAGGCAGCGCCATGGTTGGGCCTCGTGCCATCCCCCAGCCACAACCGTCTGCTGCAGCTGCTGCGAATCAACCCCTCCGACCTGCCCTGCCCCTCTTCCTGCCCTCATTCCCTTGCTTTTTCCCAAACCCTCCCCTCCTCTCTCCCCTCTTCAGGCGCATTCATCCACCCTGCAGTTCATCCAAGCAGCGCCATGGTTGGGCCTCGTCCCCTCCCCCAGCCACAACCGTCTGCTGCAGCTGCTGCGAGTCAACCCCTCCGACCTGCCTCCCCACGAGGCCTTCACCCCCCGGGGCCTCCGCCACCGCTCCCCCCGCCACCACCCCTCCCACGAGTCACGCCGAGAAACAAGGGGCGGTGAAACAAAGAGGGTGGAATCGGAAGCAGCACGGGCATCTGTGGCCCGTGCTGCTGCTGCTGCTGGTGGTGATGCTGATGATGATTGTCGTGCTGATGTTGTGGTGCGGAGCAGTGCAGATGGGCAGAGGATGGATCAGGGCAGAGATGGTTTTTCAGCTGCCCGAGGGGGTGAGGGGGAGATTGAGGACGGGCAGATGGGTTCTCCGCCGAGAATTTCTCTCTCTCCTGCTGCTGCTGCTGCTGCTGCTGCTGTTGCTGGGCCTGCTGGTCCTGATGCTGCTGCGTGTGAACCTGATGGTTCGTTGTTGGAGCATCACAATCGGCCACATGATGAACCCCGTCGTTCAGACGCGCACGATAAACCCTGGCACGACGATCCACCCCAATCTCACCCTCCACCTCCGCCTGCTCCCCCAGCGGCCCCTCTAACGGACCTGCTGCAGAGGGTGTGTGCGTCCGTGCCAGTGGTGCGCTCCTCCATGCTCGGCATGCTGCAGGCTGCGCAGGTCGCAGGTGAGACGAGATGAGAGGGGTTCCAGTGCGGTTCAGTGCGGTGCAGCACATCCCTTCCCCTCTCCACTCTCCGTGCCAGTGGTGCACTCCTCCATGCTCGGCATGCTGCAGGCTGCGCAGGTCGCAGGTGAGACCAGACTCAGTCGTACGGTGAGGTGTGGTGCGGTGCAGAGCGGTACCGCCCCCTCCTCCTCCGCCTGCCCCTCCAGCAGCCTCTCTCACGGGCCTGCTGCAGAGGGTGTGTGCGTCCGTGCCAGTGGTGCGCTCATCTATGCTCGGCATGCTGCAGGCAGCGCAGGTGGCAGGTGAGACAGCCACACTCACGTTTACAGGCAACAGGTTTAAGGTTTCGGACTCAGTCATATGGTGTGGTGGAGTGCGGTGTGGTGCAGTGCGGCATCGCCTCCTCCTCCGCCTGCTCCACCAGCGGCCCCTCTAACGGATCTGCTGCAGAGGGTGTGTGCGTCCGTGCCGGTGGTGCACTCCTCCATGCTTGGAATGCTGCAGGCCGCTCAGGTGGCAGGTGAGCCGATGAGTGGAGTGCTGCATACGGGGTTCAGGGTTCAGGGTGCGAAGAGAATAATTGTCGCACTGTCCGTGCCCTCTCCACCCTTTCACTCCCTTCTTTCCTCTTCTTCTCCCTCCCCTCCCTTCTTTTCGCCATCCAGAGGCCATCTACTGGGGGAGCGTGCAGGCAGACAGCCTCTTCGCGCACGCCCTCTCAATCCTCTCCACTGCTCTCCAACCCTTCCTACCACTGCTCGCCCCACCGGTGGAGCCCTGGGCGGCCAAGGGGAGACATCCAAGGGAGTTTCACCACCTGCACTCACTGCTACTTGCTGTAAGCGCCTCCTCTCCTTTCTTCCCAATCAAAACCCTAAAGCCCCAAGTTCCCAAGTCAAGCTCCTTCTAGCACAGGAGCTTATCTTTTTATGAGGCTCAACCCGGCTCCGACAGTATGGATTCTGCAGTGCTTGCTTCTGCATGCCACGAGCCATCCATGCAGGGCCCAAAATATCAGGGTAAAACACCCTGATTACCCTGGGGGCCGGCCGCTTTTTCAGGAATACCCTGCTGAAATCAGGAATGGCTGATAGTTACCCTTCTCTAAAAAGAACATGTGATTTTTTACACTGATAGGTTTTTAGGTTAGCCTGATGGAATCAGGGTAGGGTGTAGACTACCCTTTTACCGAAACCAAACTAACGCGAATCAGTCCACAGTCCGCGTGGTGACAAAACGCCACACCCCCACAAACAAGAATTGTCGCACGGTAGTTTCGTGCTGTCAGAGCACAGCGAATTCGCCCAATCACGGTTTTGAGCTGTCAGAGAGCAGAAAATTTGCCCAATCACAGCGGAACACCCTGACACAAGAGCAGATTCGCCCTTACACTTGAGATTCGCCCTGTCAGACCCTGTTGTGAGTGCTACTTTATTATGTTAGTATAAAAAACTTAGCTCACAAAATAGTAGCCTAAACAGGCTTAGCCTAAAACTACCCTGCTCAAATCAGGCTATAGGTTGATTTACCCTGCTGCAAACAGGGTACGAAAATGTTTACCCTAGGGGTCGGGCTAACGAGGGGTTGGAACCCTGATTTGTAAGGGTAGGCCTAAACCAATTTTGGGCCCTGCATCCATGCCACGAGCCATCCATGCCACGAGCCATCCATGCCAGATAGTGGCTGAAAATAACTCCCTTTCTTCTTTTAGTTCCTGGTGTCTGTCCATCCTTAATCGTTCTTGATTGCACTTGACCGTACTTGTTCCTTTCTTGTTCGTCTCAAAAGGCCCTGATGGCTGACATGCCCCGCCCCTGCCCCTGCCTTTCTTCACCTTGCCGTCTGCCACTGTGGTTCCTTCTTCTGCTGTGCGCCCCTTTCTGACAGCTCATCTGCCAAAAACAAGCGACAACTGCTACAGCAGCAGCTGCAGCAGCAACAGCAACAACATTAACATCAACGCCAGCAGCAGCGACACCAGCAACGGGACATGCACTGGGAGGAACTCATGCAGACAGCCACGCCAGAACACCAGACACCATCATCACCACTCCCTCCTCTCCTTCCCCTCATTCCTCAGCTTACAACACTCCCGCCCACTCCCTCTCCTCCTCCTCCCCTTTCACTCCCCCCACGGCCCCTCTCACCACCGCCCCTCAATCTCTCCCCATCACAGTCCCGCACTCAGGCCCCCTCCCATCCTCATCCCCAGCAACCCTTCCCGAACCTAGCTCGAAATCCGGCCCTCTAACTCGTCCTACCAGGCCTGGAGGCTCGGCAACAGCCCATACTGAACGTGCAGGCTCGACAGCAACCTTGCCTGGGGCCGGAGGGATGGGGGGAGGGAGGGGGGAAGAGGAGGGGGATGCAGTGGTGTGGGGGGGGAGTGTGGTGGTTCATCTGCTAGGGCAGCAGAGGCGGTTTGAACTAGATGATCCGTGCTGGCATGCTGTGGCTGTGAGCGATTATGAGAGCATTTGCAGCGGTGGTGAGGGGTTGGGTGGCTTGGGTGCTGGTGCTGATGGGGGAGGAAGAGGGGGAGGGGGAGGGGTGATGCTTGGGGTGATAGGGAGTGCGGAGAGGCAGCGGGGCAAGAAGGCAGCGGCAGCAGCGGCAGCGAGAGAGGCAGAGGCACGCCTGCAGCAACTCAAAGCACAGGTTAGTTTTGAGTCGACTCAAAAGAGGGGGAGCGGGAGGGGTGATGCTTGGGGTGATTGGGAGTGCGGAGAGGCAGCGGGGCAAGAAGGCCGCGGCAGCACCGGCAGCAAGGGAGGCAGAGGCACGCCTGCAGCAACTCAAAGCCCAGATGAGTCAAAAGCGTGGCGTCCTAGCTAGGCCATGTCGCTGTGGTGTGTGCACATCTTGCTCTTATCATGAAGTCACCTCCATATCCTCTTGATGTTTGCCCTAGTTGCCCTTTGGCTTTACACACCTCCATACCCTCCTGGTTTCCCTCCCTGCCTACTCCTCCCTGCCCACACAGGCAACGGCCTTTGTGGAGAGCGCAAGGCGACTGCAGCAGGTCAGCCAGCAGCCGCTCAGTCAGCCTCCTTGATCACTGAGCTCCCTCCCCTTTGACTCTATACACCTCCATAATCCCTTTACTCGCCCTTTTACTCCTCCTTGCCCACACAGGCAACTGCATTTGTGGAGAGCGCAAGGCGATTGCAGCAGGTCAGCCAGCAGGCGTTCACCCTCTTTGCCGCCCAGGCGCCTCTGCCGCCCAAAGCTGCCAGGGTGTGTGGCGCGAATGGCCTTCCCACTGCCACCTGCTTCCCCATGCCGCCCTTTGCCTCGTCTGCCCCTCCTGCTGCGGACTAGTTAAAAGGCCCTGCAACTGGACTGGAGCTTTGCAAGCTTACGGATGTTTTACTGGCATAGGCACCTGCTCGGTGTGCCCTTCAAGTCATTGTTGTTACTACTGGCATGGCAACAGAGGCTTACAGTGCTGCTCTGGTATGGTGGGTGTGTGAAGCTATGAACACGGACCGTGTGCCTGAAGAGGAGCTAGAGGGGGGCCGACCAACTGTCAATATCAGATCTGCAGCTAGGCTTATGTCCAGCATGAGATGGTTTGACTCATGTTTAGCACCAACCACCTCACTTTAATCTCTGGCAAGTGCATAACGGGCTGCAAGAAAAAATGGAGGCCTAGATTTTCACTGAAGCTAAATTCGTTGATAATGTATCACCCAGGGTCCTCTACATCAGACATTTTTGTTTGTTTGTCTAGTTTCCAAACGGATTTTTTTTTTGGATTAATCTGATGGGCCAGTCAGAATCAGACAAAAGTTTTTTTTTGCCCGGGGGACCCGTCTGATCCTAGCGAGGACTCTGGTATCACCCGTGCTGTACTTGTACAACAAGCTCAGTATGAAAGGATATTCAAGGGGCTGCAACTTTCTCTCGATATCGCGGATATACAGCAACTTTCTCTGCCCATTGGCTGGTTTCGACAACGGACAAGCCTGTAACTCGCTAAGCCTCCTCGTCAAAGGAAAAAACCACTGATATTCCTTCGTCGAATGTTTTTTGTTACCCTTCGCCGCCTCCTATATTTCTACCTGCTGCTTTTCGCCGCTAACAAACCTCGCCATCGCGCCTGTAACAAGGAAACGCTTCGTGAGATCCTTCAAGGTCCACCATGGCGCGTCAGCCACAAGCGACAAAAACTGCCTTGGGGTGATCAACTTGGCAGTACAGTTTTGTCGCTCGTGACAGGAGCAGAGTCCAGGGAAAGACTGACGGGTTCTGTCCACACGTCCGTCAACTTCTGACACTTTCGTTTTCCCCAGGCAAATTGTCACTCGCGATCTGTGTTTTGGGGGGGATTCTCCAGTCCCACGCACAGCGCACTGTAGAATCCCTCCCAAAACACATTGCGGCTCACCCGACGCGATACGTCACGCGTCGGAAAGCTGTATTCTTCCACGTCGAATTAGCTGCTGGCTTTCGTTTTAGTCATCGGCCTGTGAGAGGCGCTGCTTGGAGTCTCGCGTGGTCGCATTCGGCGCTTTTGAAGCAAGTGATTGCACGAGGTGGGACCGGGAGGGAGGGAATGCAATGCGAGCTTTGAGGCGCCTCAGATCTGCCACACGACTCGTTTCCAGACGTCTTATAACTTGAGAGGATTCAAAACGCGACCGGAGATCCTGATGCACAGTTATTGTATTTTCGAGCCTTATTAAGCACCAGGTGCTTCTGAAGCGAGCCTCGTGTGATGTTGAAGGTTCGAGCCCTACTCAGCACCAGGTGGGACCGAGGCAGGGGAAATGCGATACGAAAGATGGTTGGTTGGGGATAATACAAAGAGATGTATTTTCGGCTGAGTCGAATCGAGTCAAGCGAGGCGGAATGCCGTCCGGAACCGATTCAAACCGACGTCATGCATGTAGCTTAGCTGTGGATAAGGTAACGTAAGTCTCCGCTTAAGACGTTAACGGAATGAGTACGGCGCGGAGGGAGAGGCACGGGATGACGAGGTCCGCGCGTCATGATGAAGGTAACGTGCGGTGCATGGTGAGATCCGCGCTTACGACGTAAACGAACGAAATGAGCTCGACAGAGGGAGAGGCACGCGCGTAGGTTTTTGAGGGGCCTCGAACCGTGAGGCATACTGGAGCTGCGATTAGGACTTGAACGAAATGCGTAAGGCGGGGGAGGGAGGGGTCGTGCGGGCGATGTAGAGAATTTTTGAGAATTCCCAAAAATACTCTATATGTCGAACGCATGAGGCATACTGGAGCTGCGATTAGGACTCGAACGGAATGCGTAAGGCGGAGGAGGGAGGGGCTGTGCGGGTGCGCGCCAATGGCTTGCACGAGCACATGCGAGAAATGCAAAGCTGCGCGGTGTAATGCAGTTTTACGCGATGCAATGCGATGCAGGGTTCTGCAATGCAACGCAATACGGGTCGCAAGGAGGCAAGGCGTGCATGAGACAGCTTCCCTTCAATACCTGGTGTGGCGGTAGGGGAGGGCTCTAGGACCCACATCATATCTTCGCGCCTCCCCCCTTCCATCCCCTACCAGATGTGGCCGCTAATGCCGGTGGCAGTGGTGGCAGTGGGCATACTGGGCTCAGACCATCTCTCCCAGGGAGTGGGAGGGGAGACGTATGGAAAGCACATGATTCCTTATCTTGTCTTCCATTACTTCCCTCCATTTCCTACCAGATGTGGCCGCTAGTGCCGGTGGCGGTGGTGGCTGTGGGAGGAGCGTGGGCGTACTGGGCTCAGACCAGCTCTCCCAGGGAGTGGGAGGGGAGACGTGTGGAAACACACATCTTTTCTTTCCACCCTTTTGCCTATTGTTACCTTCCCTTCCCTGCCAGATGTGGCCGCTAGTGCCGGTAGCGGTGGTAGCGGCAGGAGGGGCGTGGGCATACTGGGCCCAGACCAGCTCTCCCAGGGAGTGGGAGGGGAGACGTGTGGAAACACACATCTTTTCTTTCCACCCTTTTGCCTATTGTTACCTTCCCTTCCCTGCCAGATGTGGCCGCTAGTGCCGGTAGCGGTGGTAGCGGCAGGAGGGGCGTGGGCATACTGGGCCCAGACCAGCTCTCCCAGGGAGTGGGAGGGAGGGAGGCGCAAGGGCATCGTGCCTTTCTTGAAGCCGAAGTCATTCTATGTGGGTGGTGACGTGCGCATGGATGGGTGGTGACGTGTGCATGGATGGGTGGTGACGTGTGCATGGATGGGTGGTGACGTGTGCATGGATGGGTGGTGACGTGTGCATGGATGGGTGGTGACGTGTGCATGGATGGGTGGTGACGTGTGCATGGATGGGTGGTGACGGGTGCATGGGTGAATGGTGACGTGTGCATGGATGAGTGGTGACGTATGCATGGAGGGGTGGCGTATGCATGGAGGGGTGACGTATGCATGGAGGGATGACGTATGCATGGAGGGATGACGTATGCATGGAGGGATGACGTATGCATGGAGGGATGACGTCTCCGATGTTGACGTGTGCATGGATGGGTGTTGACGTGTGCGGGTGTTGACATGTACACTCGTGCATTGCTTGCCCTCTGAAAGCCTGTGCTTCTTGCTAAGTTGATGTTTGTGTTCAGTGGAGTGACAGAGCCATCGTGCTGTTTGTGAATCCTCTTGCTGACATCGGAGCCTTGTGCATTGCCAACAGAACAGGCATGTCTCACATGTCGCATTCTATTCCTTTACCTCCCCCTCACTTCCGTTCCCCCATGTCACTTCTGCGCGCTCATGCCATGCAGGATTCTAAGGGAGTCAAGACCGTGGAGGTGAGAAGCATGCCTTTGCTCAAACATCACATGTGTATCGATTGCTTCAGATTTTTTTCTCAACCCCTTATCATGCTCTGTTATGTGCCCTCACCCTCACCCTCATCACGTCTACCCTCCACCACTCCACTGTCCCCCCTCGCCCAACCAGCACAGGTGTACTATCGCAACAGCAGAGGCGTCGAGATCTTCACGAAGCGATGGCAGCCGTTGGATGGGGTGGTTAAAGGAATCGTGGTCTACTGCCATGGATATGGCGACACATGCACGTACCACTTTGATGGTATGTGAAGATTATCCGATGATGCATGCGCTCACCATTCATGCATGCGCACATGAGGGGACTGGTGGTCTACTGCCATCGCTATGGTAACACATGCACGTACTGCTTCGATGTTACCTGGAGATGCTGCATGCATGCATGTCTCACATCACAGCTTACATTCACGTGCATTTTCCTTTCTCCCTGACCCTTCCCCCCTCCCTCTTCATGTGAGTTAACACCAGCCGTGGCAGTGAGCCTAGCACAGCAGCAGTACCTGGTGTATGGCATGGACTATGAGGGCCATGGGTGCTCGCAGGGACGACATGCATATATTTCCCCCACCTGCCTCACCCCCCTTCCACTTCTCCCTCCACATGTGCGTGCTATGTCTCCCAGCCGTGGCAGTGAGCCTAGCACAGCAGCAGTACCTGGTCTACGGCATGGACTATGAGGGCCATGGGTGCTCCCAAGGGCTGCATGCTTACATCCCACGCTTCGACACAATCATAGATGATGTTGTTGAATTCACTGACGCACTAAGAGGTGGGTGCAGATGGGTGCCGATGGGTACAGGTGGGGGCAGATTGGTGCAGCAAGGCAACCTCACGCAGGTGGGTGCTCGCAGGGCCTGCATGCATACCTCTTTCGCTTTGATACCATCATAGATGCGTTGAATTCACCGACGCGTTGAGAGGTGGGTGAAGATGGGTGCAAATGGGTAGGTGCTCCCAGGGTCTGCATGCATGCACCCCCCGCTTCGACACCAACATCAGGGCTGATGCGTGTGGATCCTAAACAAAACCCCGCTTCGACACCAACATCCCCCGCTTCAATGCGCCGGTCTTTAGGAACGTTCTTGGGCGTCTCAATCCCTCCCAGTGCTCTTGTACGGAGAGGCAATGGGCTTCACAGTGCTGGTGTGAAGGATTCATGGGCTTGTAGTGGACTTAGAGCTCGGATTTCAATCTTGGTTTTTTGCACTGGCATCAGAGAGTAATACTCGACTGTCATTCTTCTGCTATGGCTGCAGCTCGCCCGGTCGTTGTGTCTGAAGGTACTTAGGGAACGTTCTTGGGCGTCTCGATCCCTCCCAGTGCTCTTGTACGGAGAGGCAATGGGCTGCACTGCACAGTGCCACATTCTGTCAAGAGCTTTGAGATGTATTTTGAGGCGCCTCAAAATGATCCTCGGTGAGACCACGTGTGTCTCGCAGTGCTCATCAAGATCCATACGTGAGACACTGTGAGACACACGCCGGCTTACATAACTCTCCTTTCACCTCCCTGCCTCTATCTGTGTCCCCATCCCCCCATGTACCCTCTCAGCCTCACCAGCCCTCTCATCTCTCCCTGTGTTCCTGCACGGCGAGTCAATGGGCGGCGCAGTGGCCATCAAAACACACAGGCTTTCCCTTCTAACCCTCAACCCTGCCAAACCCTACATCCCTTCCCCCCCACATCCGTGCAGCCTCGCCTGCCCTCTCATCCCTCCCAGTCTTCCTGTACGGCGAGTCAATGGGCGGCGCAGTGGCCATCAAGACGCACTGGCGCCGTCCAGACGCGTTCCGAGGAGCCGTCTTACTCTCGCCCATGTGCAAGGTAAGCATGCGGTAGCCATGTGGTAACCACGTGGTAACCATGTTGTGGCCATGGGGTAACTGTGTGATAGCCATGTGGTATCCACAATGTCGTCTTGTCTTCCTACTGCCCGTGTGCAAGGTAGTGATATTGTAACCATGAGGTATGTGTGTATTGACGTTGTTGCCCGTGTGTATTTTTGGCTCGCAGCAACGTTATTCCCAAGCTATCACCACACCCTGTGCCTGTTTCCACACCCACCCTCCTCTCAATAACCCCCCCCCCCCCCCCCCCCCCCCCCCCCCCCCCCAATGCTCACCAGATAGCAGAGGAGCTTATGCCTCCCCTGATGGTGGTATCGGCGTTCTTGGTTCTCAACAGCGTCGTTCCCAAGGTCAAGATGGTCAATAGTCACTCCCAAATACTCGCCACGTACCACACCCGCCCTCCACTCCCCACTCTCCGTCATCCCCCAATGCTCACCAGATAGCAGAGGAGCTGATGCCGCCTCCCATGGTGGTATCAGCATCCTTGGCTCTCAACAGCGTCATTCCCAAGGTCAAGATGGTGAACGATCACTTCCAAATACTCACCACATACCACACCTACCCACCACTCGCCACCCCCCACTGGTCACCACCAGATAGCGGAGGAGCTGATGCCGCCTCCCATGGTGGTATCGGCGTTCTTGGCGCTCAACAGCGTCATTCCCAAGGTCAAGATGGTTCCGGGCAAGGACATCAGCGACATTGGAATGAGAGACCTCGCCAACCGCAAAAGAGTGAGTGTGCACCTTCATGTGGTGAATCCTTCTTGTCGAACAATCGGGATGACCACCTGAGTATCACCAACAGCATTTCCAAGGTCAAGATGGTGCCGAGGAAGGACATCAGCGACATCGGCATGAGAGACCTGGCCAACCGCAAGAGGGTGAGTCAGGAGGAGAAGAGAGGGGGTAGATCTGAATAGTGCTGGCTCTCAGCAGCGGCATTCCCAAGGTCAAGATGGTTCCAGGCATGACAGACCTTGCCAACTGAAAGAGGTTCAGTCTGTTGCACTTTCATTCGGTGAGCTTGAATTCAACGGTGTTGGGTATCAACATTTCAAGGCCAGGCATGCACTGTGCTGGCTACCTCCACTTCAGCTCCCCTCCTCCTCTCCCCTCTTCCCCCCTCCTTCCACCAGGCGAAGGATAACCCGATGTCAATCAAGGGCACTGCTCGCGTGGACACAGCAGTTTCGCTGCTTCACCTGCTCCTGCGATTCGCCTAACACCCTTAACCCCCCTCTTCCCTTGCTCTCGCCTTCACTTGCTCCCCCCACCCGCCAGGCGAAGGACAACCCAATGTCCATCCGGGGCCCTGCTTGCGTGGGCACAGCAGTTTTTCTGCTTCACCTGCTTCATCAGTCGATTCACCTGACCCCCCCAACCAACCTCTTCCCTTGCTCCTCGCCTTCACTTGCTCCCCCCTTCCACCAGGTGAAGGATAACCCGACGTCCATCAAGGGCGTTGCTGGGCGTTGCTGGGCGTTGCTCGCGTGGCCACAGCAGTTTCACTGCTCCTCTTCTCCTGCTATTCACCTAACCCTCATCCGACCTCCCCCCTCGCGCCTTTCCCTCCCTTGCTCGCTCCCTCCTTGCTCGCTCCTTTTACTAGGCGAAGGACAACCCAATGTCCATCAGGGGCCCTGCTCGCGTGGGCACAGCAGTTTCACTGCTTCACCTGCTCCTGCTATTCACCTAACCCCCCCAACCAACCTCTTCCCTTGCTCCTCGCCTTCACTTGCTCCCCCCACCCTCCCCCCACCAGGCGAAGGACAACCCGATGTCCATCAGGGGCCCTGCTCGCGTGGGCACAGCAGTTTCACTGCTGCGGACTACACAGGAGATCGGCCCGAGGATGAAGGAGGTGAGGGTGAGGTGTGATTGAGGTGTGAGAAATGGTTTAAGTTCTTATGCTGGTGATTGTCATATGCTGCTGCAGACCACACAGGAGATCGGCCCAAGGATGAAGGAGGTGAGGGCGAGGTGTGAGGTGTGAGGTGTAAGGTGTGAGGGTGAGGTGTGAGGTGTGAGGTGTGAGGTGTGAGGTGTGAGGATGAGCACCAGCTCCTGGAATCACAAATAGATGAGAGTAAGAAGTGTACCGTAACATACTATCCACCCTCCCATCTCTCTCTCCCCCACTTCTCTCTCTCCAGCTCTCCCTGACGTGCTTCATTCTGCATGGCAGCGGTAACGTGGTAACCAACCCAGCATCCAGCAGCTCACCTTCTCTCTCCCCTTCCTCCAGTTCTCCCTGCCGTGCTTCGAACTGCGAAGCAGGGCTGACGTGGTGACCGGCCCATTGATCAAATCGACGTGTGCCGCAGTGAACTCCATAACACAACATGTGCCCCCACTCCCTCCCCACAGCTCTCCCTGCCGCTTCATACTGCACGGCAGTGATGATGCAGTAACCGACCCAGCATTCAGCAGCTCGACAAAAGCACCAATAAACTCTACAGCATACCCTTTATCCCCCCTCTCCCTCCCCTTCCCCACAGCTCTCCCTGCCGTGCTTCATACTGCACGGCAGTGATGATGCAGTAACCGACCCGGCACTCTCCAAAGAGCTGCACGCAGCGGCCAGCAGCACCGACAAGACTCTCAAGATATACGAGGGCTCCTGGCACGGACTCATGACTACCGGCTGGCACCCAACCGTGCTTCATACTGCACGGCAGCAGTTGACTTGATGGCCGATCTGTGCAAGTGTAAGCCAACGAATTCCAAACCAAGTGTGTCTCTTGCTGTCCAACCCCTCTCTCCCTCCCCTTCCCCACAGCTCTCCCTGCCCTGCTTCATACTGCATGGCAGTGATGATGCAGTAACCGACCCGGCACTCTCCAAAGAGCTGCACGCAGCGGCCAGCAGCACTGACAAGACTCTCAAGGTCTATGAGGGCTCCTGGCACGGGCTCACGTCCGGAGAGCCTGATGATGTGATCGAGAAGGTGATTGCGGATATCGCTGCGTGGATTGCTGCACGCAGCAGCGCTGCTACAGTGGATCTGAATGCGGTGAATGAGAAGCTTTTGGAGCCGCCTTTTAAGGGGGATACGGGGAAGGCGGTGGAAGTTTAGCGTTGTTATGGGCTTAGCTCTCAGAAGCCCGGGTATGTGATTCAGAAGGCGATGGGGGGTATCGTGTATTGGGTTGCTACGGTTGCAAACAGCACAATGGTTGTAATTTATACGAGCTGAGTGAGCGAACTGAAGAAAATCTGCAGGGAGGAAAAATTGCGACATGGGACTCACTGGGAATAAACAATTGAACCAGCTACGTTATGCAAGGCTGTCTAACACTTCATACTTATTGAGAGTTGCATTTACACCGTTTATTGTTGAGTAAAAGACATGGATGGATGTTCCAGTCTTAAGTAGTCTTGCGAGAAATGCTTTCGAGGACATTCCCCTGTGATGGCCTGCCCTAGTGACGTGGCCCATCTTGGTGCGACATCGTCAAGTTTCCCTTCCACGTGGATCACATGAAGGTGACTGCCAGCACAGCATAACAGCAGTTTCGATAACTGTCAGCGAGTCAGTCGCTTGCTTCGCTGGACGTTGTTTCTGCAAGCCAGCGCACCAAATGTGGCTGCCACGCCCGATGCGCCAAGCCAAGCAGTTGCCGCATCTCGTGGTGGTGCAAAATCGAGGTGGAGGTTCTTCCCGAGATCGAAGTTCATGTGTTACGTTTCGCCACCAGCAATCACGATCATCGTTGCGACCAGAAGTGGATGCTGAACGAACTCATAATCAGCACAGCGAAGTTTCGCACTATCTTTTCTAGGCTTCGTGAGCACGACAACGTCACCGTGAGGTCTGATTTCAGCGACGCGGCGCGGCATGTCACGAATTCTGATTTCTATACAACCAGTTTTCTCTGCTCACCCTTCCTGCCTCCTCCATTCTCGCTTCGTCGTGATTTTCTCAACTTTGATTTCCTTCAGCGCAGCAAATCCACTGTTATGGTGCGGCGAACTTTTGAAGCTGAGCGGGAAGCAAGCAACCATCAATGGAAAGACGTCTTAAACAGATGGAAAAAGGGAGGCGACGTCATTGCTCCAGAATATACCGATTTTCATGTAGTCTCCTTTCCGCAGAAAGCCCACAAGTCCATTCCAAGTGCTACTACACGTGGCCCTGCTGAGCCGACGAAATCTGTCGGTGCGTCTCCGTACCACACGCAGGATGCGCGAAATTTCGAGAATTATGATGCGAAAGACCTTGCCAGAATCGACCATCAAAGGCACGCAGATCGTTCGAAAGGCCACCAGATCACGAGAATCGATGGGAAGGTTACGACGCCCACGAGTAGGGAGCGAGAAAGCGCCCACGTACAAGAACTCGAAGGCGAAGTTGGTACTTGCCGTGAGAAGAGGTTTAAGTCAGGTCAATACCCGCAGAGCACGCTGCTACCAACACGAAAGCGAGAAAGCGCCCACGCACAAGAACGCGAAGGCGAAGCTGGTACTTGCCGTGATAACGAAAATCCAGAGAGCACCATCCGCGGTTCCGATGGGCCGCCGAGGAAAGGCGTGAAAAGATCCGCAGAAATCGTGGTGCTGGTGAGTGAAATCCCAGCGAGCAATCCCCTTGCTCTAGCTGCCGAAAGCCCTGACGGCTCTGCAGACGACGAACTCGGCCGTCGCGCTGACGTCCCGCTGGGAGGCGGTACCGGCTGTACTGCCGCTCCGGCAGACAGCACTGTGGCGCCGGAAGTCGCACGAGAGCCGTCGGTGAGCACCTGTGGTCCGTTTGTTCCCCTCGGGGATTACACGGACGGTTTTTTGGAAGCGGATGGTTGCGACAGAAGTTGTCGCAGTGCAACGGGCGACGGCGCTCGCGAGGCAGATGGCGATAGGAGAGCAAGTCGCAGACCGGAGGGAGATGTTTGTGACTCCGCGGAGCGGGGGGGAGTGCAAGGCGGAACGGCGAGCGGCGGAACAGCGGAAGGTGGAGCAGCGGAGGGGGGAGCAGCGGAAGGCGAAGCATCGGAGGTGGGGGAATCGGTGGGCGGAGTGGAGGACGGGAGGTCTTGGTGGGGAAGGGTGACCGGGGGAAGATTGGGGAAGCGAAGGGTTTCCACGGAAGTGTCGCCGCCACGTGGCAGCAGCTCACTGGAGGCTGTTTTCAACGGAGTCAATGTGCTGACGGGTGAGACACGTGGGGGAAATGGCGTGGGCACTCCCCAGCTGGCGGTGGGTGCGTGTGGGTGTGCGTGTGTGTGTGCGAGTGCATGCGTGAGTGCGAAACCGTCTCCCTTCCTTCCTCATCCATTCCCTCACTCTCCACTTGCCCTTCACTTCCCCTCTCCCCTCACCTTTCCCCGTGCTCGCTCGGTCTGGCTGGTTCGGCGTGCTGCTCCTCATGTCTTTTCTTTCCCTTCCTCCCCCACTCTCACCTTTCCCCCCTCCCCGTGAACCAGGCATCGGCATTCTCACCACGCCGTACGCGCTCGCCCAAGCGGGCTGGCTAGGCCTGCTGCTCCTGCCCGCCACGTCCCTCCTCTACCTCCTCACCGCGCGCCTCCTCCGCGCCTGCATGGACCACACCTCTGCCACCGATCTCCACACCTCTACAACTGATCCCCATACCCCTGATACCAGCATCCACTCCCCGGCTGCAAGCAGCCACGCCTCCACCACCGCATCCTACAACTCTACAACTCCTCCCCACACCTTCGCCACTGCACTGCACACCTCCACAATCACGACCTACCCCGACATCGGCGCAGCAGCATTCGGCCGCGTGGGCCGCATGCTGACGTCTCTGGTGCTGTACGGGGAGCTCTTCGCCGTGGCAGTCGAGCTGCTCATCCTGGAGGGAGACAGCCTCGCTTTCCTCTTCCCCTCGTTTGCTCCGCACGGGGTCTCCCTCGGCCCATCGATCCGCCTGTCGCCCAATCAGGTGAGGTTTGAAGCGCCTCTAACATAGACTCAACAGGCATGCTCACGTCGCTCATCCTCTACGGGGAGCTCTCCGCCGTGTCAGTCGAGCTGCTCATTCTCGAAGGCGACTCCCTCGCCTTCCTTTTCCCCTCGTTTGCTCCACACGGGGTCCCCGTCGGCCCATCTCTCCGCCTCTCGCCGAACCAGGTAAGCTTTGAGGCGCGTTTGGGTACACAGGCCGCATGCTCACATCGCTCATCCTCTACGGGGAGCTCTTCGTCGTGTCGGTCGAGCGGCTCCCTCGCCCTTCTGTTCCCCTCGTTTGCTCCGCATGGCATTTCCCTGGGATCCTCGGTCCGCCTCTCGCCCAACCAGGTGTTTCTGATCATCACAGCGCTGATTGTGTGCCCACGGTGTGGCTCAGAAAGCTGTCTCTGCTCGTGTATGTGTCCGTGGGAGGGCTGCTAGCTGCGCTGATTGTTCTGTTGCCCACAAAAGGCTTCTCAACAGTCCCCTCCCTCCTCCTGTCCCCCAATCAGGTGTTTCTGATCATTGCAGCACTCATTGTCCTTCCCACAGTGTGGCTTCGAAAGCTGTCTCTGCTCGCGTATGTGTCCGTGGGAGGGCTGCTAGCAGCGCTGGTGACCGTGGTGGGAGTGGCGTGGGTGGCGGCTGTGGGGACGGTCGATGCTGCCTCTGCTTCTGCTGCAGCAGCGCCAGCAGCAGTGGCGGCAGCAGCGCAAGGGGGATCGGCGTTGCTGCGGGTGCAGGGTATACCAGTGGCGATGGGCATATTCGGGTTCTGCTTCTCAGGGCATGCTGTGTTTCCCACCATCTACCGCTCCATGGATAAGCCCCAGCACTTCAACCGGGTGAGTGCGTGCTTGTGTCGTGCATAGTACAGCTACAGGTAACGTCCATAGTACAATTGCTGCAACCCCTTGTCTCAGCACCTGCTTCTTGGGGGATGCAGTGTTCCCCTCCATCTATCGCTCCATGGACAAGCCCCAGCACTTCAACCGGGTGAGTGGGTGAGTGACACTGCAACACATGGAATGACAGCAGCCTGAGTCTTCCTCCCTCCTCCCTCCTCCTCACCCTCCCTTACCCCTCGCGTCCTCCCATCCGCCCCTCCAGGTCCTCCTAATCTGCTTCACTGTCTGCACGTGCATATACGGCGGCATCGCCATTCTCGGCTATTCCATGTACGGACACGCCACTGCCGCCCAGATCACGCTCAACCTGCCGCCCACCCTCACGCCCTCGCGCATAGTCCTGTGGACCACCATCATCTCGCCCCTCACCAAATTCGCCATCACCATCACCCCCGTCGCTCTCGCCCTTGAGTCCTCCCTCTCCTCCCTCCTCTCCAACCTCTCCCCTCCCAGCCTCGCCTCCTGTACCCCTTACTGCGTGCCCCGCTTCAAGCACAGAGGCTGCAGCTGCAACTGCAAGTACACTCCGTTCCCTCTCTCCTGGTTCTCGAATCTTCCGGGCTTTAACAGGATGAGGATCGGCGGCAAGACAGTAGTTTCCCTAACTGTGAGGACCGTACTGGTGGTGCTGGTGGCAGCGGCGGGATTGCTGCTTCCATTCTTCGCCCTGGTCATGACTCTCACGGGCTCTCTTCTTAGTGTATCCATCTCGCTGCTGCTTCCCACGGCCTGCCACCTCAGCATCAAGTGGCGCCAGCTGTCACGCGCGTCGGTTGCGTGCCATGTGGCGATTCTCCTGGGAGGGACAGCGGCGGCTGTGACAGGGACGGTTTATGCCGTCAGGGGGATCGCTGCCGGTGGGGGTGGGTCTCATTGAGACGATGTATGACGCACCTGGAACAGCGATTCTGTGGGAGGGACAGTGGCAGCTGTGACAGGGAAGGTCTATGCCGTCAGAGGGATCGCTGCTGGTGGTGGTGGGTCATATTAGCTGCTGAGTTCAAATACCATCTGCATTTGTGATGGTTCAGGGGGGATGCTGCCGATGGTGACTTGTCGAATATCAGGGGAAATTGCAGCTGTGTTTTTTTTTTTTTCTCGAATTATCAGTTGCAGGTGTGGAAGCTAGATGGTAGAAAGTGCAGCAATGAATGCGTCTTGGAGGAAACATCACCTCTGGTGATAGTTTTTGCTTATGCATGTTGCTTGCAGTCAACCTTGTTGACCAAATTTTGGTGTCCATTATTGTACAAAACCTTCATCGACACAACAATCAGCAATCAATGATGAATGATCAGAAAGTGATAACATTTTGCAAAAGGGAATTTCTTAACTGCTGCTGGGTGCGGAGTGCACATTCTGAACTCCAAATCACTTCAGCGGACAAAACACATCCAGTAAGTATTATATCCTTGTACGTCTGTACCTCTATTAATCGTACTGTACAGAGCAAGACTGAAGAGCCTCCAGATCCTCAGTCAGCTGCAGCGCTTCTGTGGTGAGCACAGTGACGATCGCTCACAGCGAGAGGGCTGTTCAGTCGACTCAAAAACCTAGTGCGGGAGGGGCATGCAGTAGATCCATCCACTCTCGTCCCACCGTAACCACAGGGGGCGTTGATGAGGTAGGGCGACTGCACGCGCATCACTGTTCCCATCGCCTCTGCCACGCTCCTTGCCAGCACCAGTGCTGCCTCCCATTGCTGCCTCCCATTGCTGCCTCCCATTGCTGCCTCCCATTGCTGCCTTGCTGCAGTTTATGAAGCGTCAAGCGCTGACCAGATCTCTACTGATGCTGCTGTTTCTCCTGATGCTACTGCTCCTGCTGCTTCTGGTGCTGCTGCTGCTAGTGCTACTGCTGCTTCGACGCAGGGGCAGGTGGTAACCAGAGCCCCACTCTCGTCCCGCCGTAGCGCTAGGGGGCGTTGATGAGATGCGGCGACTGCACGGGCATCACTGCCCCCACCGCTCCCCCCACGCCCCTCGCCACCTTCATTGCTGCCTTCCTTTGCTGCCTCACTGCACTGCTGGCAAGGCAGGTGGCAACCACAACTCTACTGCAGCTGCTGCACCTGCTGTGTCTGCTTGCGCTGCTACTGCTGCTACAGCTGCTGCTGCTGCTGCCACTGTTACTGCTGTATCGACACAGGGGCAGATGGTAACCAGATCTCCACTCGCGTCCCCCCATAACCACAGGGGGCATTAATCAGGTGAGGCGACTGCACGCGCATCACTGCCCCCACCACCTCTGCAACGTTCCTTGCCAGCTCCATTGCTGCGAACGCATCAGCAGCCCGTGCCAGCTTGCCAGGTGGCAGATTTTGAGTGGAGGCGGCCATGCTGGCAGACTGTAAAGGGGATGTGGGGGAGAGGGGAGGGTGTCCGGGAGGGACGAGAAGAAACTAGTGGGGTATGTCAGTTGAGAAGACTGAATGAGGCAGGTCTAATTCTGTGTAGTTGCCAGTGCACGTCCACCCATTTGCGCCCACAGTCCCAAGCCCTAGCCTCTAAGTCCTAATGTCTAAAACCTGATCCCCAAGCACCAAACCCTGCACAGGTAATGCACGCCCCCACCACTGCCTTCCACCAGCAGCACCACGCCTCCTCCTGGCGCCCGCTGCCGGTGCACGTGTACTAGCTAGCCTCAAAGTCCCAAACCTCAAACTCCACATGTAAGAACCCTGAACCCTTGAACCCGACCTGCACTCACCAGGTAATGCACGCCCACGCCACTGTCCTCCACCAGCAGCAGCCCGCCTCCTCCCGGCGCCCTTTGCCAGTGCACATGCACCCACCCACCCATCTATCCTCGAAGTCCCAAACACCAAATCCGAGCCACCCCAAACCTGAACCCTAAATACTCACCTCAAAACCCGGCACTCACCAGGTAGTGCACGCCCACGCCACTGTCTTCCACTAGCAGCAGCACGCCTCCTCCCGGCGCGCGCTGCCAGTGCACATGCACCCACCCGCCCCCTTCTGTGGCGCGCAGTGCAGCATCCAACACCCCCTGCAGCAGCCGCCTTATGTCACTCTCATGCCCCAACACCTCCCATGACTCCTCTTCCTCCTCTTCTTCCTCCTCCTCTTCCTCCTCCTCCTCTTCCTCCTCTTCAGCCCTCCACTCTCTCCTCATGACCCTGACCCTGCTGCTCCCTCTCCTCCCCCATGCCACCGCTTCTTTCGGCTGCTTCTGCTGCAACCACTAAACGCCCCCTGTCTTCTCCTTCTCCTCTTTCAGAAGCATTCCCCTCAGTTCCCCTGCCCACTACATATCTCTCAAGCATCGCCTCATAAACCAAATCATCCTCCTCGAATCCACTCTCGTAATCTTCTCTCCCCAGCCCTGCATCTGCATCTCTCCCACCACTCCATCTCAACCGTCCGTCGCCATTTCCTCTAAACTCCTCATCATCCAAGCTTCTCGTCCTCGTGACCCCCAATTCCGCCTCCCCTTTCCCCTCACCCTCGGCCCAGTTCTCCCTCCCGCCATTCACCCGGCCAAGAGCAGCACCCACAGGCATGGCAGCAGTCGCAGGAACGGAAGTAGCAGGCACGGCAGCAGGCTCGGTAGGTGCAGGTTCCGTGCATGACCTGGTGTTGGAACGGCCATAGCTGACAGTGAACCGGATCTCACAGGCAGTGGCGAGGGAGGTAGCGGCGTCTAGTAGAGGCAGCAGCACCCGGTGCACGCAGCAGGTTGGGTGGGAGCTGGGACGGTGGAGAAATGACAGAAAATGGCAGGAGAAATGACAGAAAATGGCAGGAGAAATGACAGAAAATGGCAGGAGAAATGACAGGAAAGAATGAGAAGATAGACAGTGAACCGGATGTCAAAGGCAGTGGCAAGAGATGCCACCCGCTGACCCACTTTTTTTTTTGGTGCCTTTTGAGGCGCCTCAAAAATCGTCTCAGTTCACGCGGTTTTTGAGGCGCCTAAAAAATGACAGGAAATTTAGAAGAGAGAGAGAGAGAGAGAGAGAGAGAGAGAGAGAGAGAGAGAGAGAGAGAGAGAGAGAGAGAGAGAGAGAGAGAGAGAGAGAGAGAGAGAGAGAGAGAGAGAGAGAGAGAGAGAGAGAGAGGACTTAGCCTCTGCCTCTAGCCTCTGCCTCTGCCCTCTAGCTATATATAGGGCCCTTGGGGTCATTTCTCAGTCATTAGTTCGTTTTGGTGCCAGTTTTTTCTTCGGCGTGGAGAGAGCGAGAGAGAGAGAGAGAGGACTTAGCCTCTGCCTCTAGCCTCTGCCTCTGCCCTCTAGCTATATATAGGGCCCTTGGGGTCATTTCTCAGTCATTAGTTCGTTTTGGTGCCAGTTTTCTTCGGCGCTCGCGCCGGCGGCCTTTGGCCGCGTGCCTAGGGGTGGCAAGGATTAACAGCAACACAAGCAATAAAGCAAACATCACAAGACACAGCGCTCAACACAAGGGAAGACGGCATGCAGTTCTACGCTAGGCGAAAGCCTACATCGTGTACGGCTCGGCCCCCGCCACTTCAAGCATCGAGCGCATGCACGCCGATACCGCAAGAAGGAGATGCGCCGTTGACTGGAGCGTGTCCAAGGGAGTCCCGCCTTGAGCAGCCCCCACAAGATCCCCCACGTGGCTGGGGAAAGTACGGGCTAAGGGAGCTACCCCGGCGGGCGCATCCGACACGGGTGCCAACGGCGACTCGAGCGATTCTGCCAAAGTCACGCAGGATCCTCGGGTTCCTGGACCGAAACTGCTCGGAAAATTCCGCGTGGCCGCACACACCGCCAGCTGCAAGTTCGCCAACACCTCACACGCCTCCGCCAGATTCAGAATCCGGCACAGGGTCAGCATGGGATCTGTGCCCGCGCGAATGGGGGGAAGTGCAGTCTGTGCTTCGCGCGGAAACACCGTCGGCCAGCCAGGAGTCCGGCCAACGGATAATCGCGGCGCGGAGAAGCCGGGGAGCTGACGAGGGGTGCGGAACTGAGCCCTCTGCTCACGCGCTGGCAGATAATCACGCAGGGTCGGCGCACGCAGGGGAGCAACCTGGCCAGGGTCCGCTGCGATGGGGGGACCGTTGGTCACCTCAATGTGGACGTGAGTCGGCCCCCCGCTTGCCTGGGCCGGCCGCACCACCTCCACAAACGTGTTCGCGGCGCGATCGAGGGCAGGATCCTGCTGGCGACCACTACCGCCACGCCCTCCGCCATTGCGCCGGCCCCGCCGGCCCGCGGAACCTGCCGAGCGCGGACGCGGGGGGGTCTGCTCGCGGCGACCCGATTCCCAGCGACGCCCAGGCGACCCCCTCCCCCGCGTCGCCGGAGGTCCCCGCGGAGAGCGTGGCTCGGGGGATCGCGCTCGGGGTGAGCGCTGGCCTGCCCGACCACGAGGAGATGGGCGGCGAGGAGAGCGATGGCCGGCAGGGGACAGCTGATCGTCAACGCCGTCCCGCTGATCTTCGCAACGCTCTGGGGACCGGCGGCGAGGAGATTGCTGCCGCGGCTGCTGCCGGGGCGGCGAACGCCCGCGCTCCTGACGCGGCTGAGCAGCAGACCGGTTTGAGGCAATCTGAGCGGGGACCCACGAGTACTCCGGCGTATGAGGCTGCCGAACATGTCGCAGAGGAAGAGACAGCCCGCGCTCCAGGCAGGGGACAGGCTCAGACGCGGAGGGGCGCGCTGCAGCAAGAGGACGAGGAGCAGCAGGCCCCTGCGCACGGGGCGGATCGAGCCGTGCGCTCTCTGCAGTACTCTCCTGCGCGCAGTCGCGACCCGCGGTTGGGTTCATTACGCCGGAGCACGGAGCCACGGACGCCAGCAGGCCGCCAAAGACGAGGCCGTGGTTCTACCTCCGCGCCTCAGCCAGCACGCCGCGACGCAGAGGCAGGCACGACGCCGCGAGGTATCCGCGTGGCTAGAGGTGGGAGACGAGGCGGACGCAGAGGAGGCGTCTCAGTTCAACGACGGGGGCTAGTAGCTTCGCGAGGGCCGCTCACCGGATCCTGCGGGAGAGAGCTGGAGATGGAGAAGAATCGAGTGATGAAAATTCTGTGGGTGACCCACTTTTTAACCCTGAAAGAGAGGGGAGTTCTAGTCCCTCTCCTCAGGTGGAAGAGGCAGAGCAGCACGAGGAGTTGGCTCAAAACCCAACACATAGCCGAGGCGCATCTGCAGTTCGAATTGGGAGACAGATTCGAGTCGGGGGGGGGAACCGAGCCGCACAAATTGCAGATGGCACCCCTTCCCGAACCAATCAGCAGGGCGCAGACTTACCCACCCGCCAGCCAATGTTCAGTGCTGGCGACCTGGCAAAACGCCAGGACCTTTTCGCCGACGTCGCAACATGGGACCTCAACCCCCTTCGCGACAGCAGGCAACCTCCACTCGCCCGTCACCCACCTCGCACACTTCGCGACTCTTTCGCTGCCTGCCTCCTCACCCCACTGTTACACCTCGCCAAAGACCCTGACTCACCTGCGGGGTGGAGGCTGTTAATGTTCCTCCCGCGCATCCTATTGCGCACTTCGTCAGCCAAACGCCCAGATTGGTCGAAGGTTGGCGCCAGGTTAATTCAGTTCCGCCAGGGCCTCTGGCGGAACCTGTATGACGAGGCGGCTGACGCAGTATCCCAACCCCCACAGCCCCGCCACGCGCCGGACACCACAGGCATCCTGGCAAGGGCTGAGGGTTTGGCCAAACGAGGAAACCTGGCGAAATCGCTCCAATCCCTAACAGCCACGCCAGTCTCCCCCCCATCCACAGAAGTGCTCCAAGCCCTCTCAGCTAGACACCCTCATGCGCGCCAAGCCGTCCCTGACTGGGTACCGGAGTTCACCACTGACTCAACCCCTACAATCCATCCACGCGACTTCAGGCGCATCCTCGCCAAGTGCCCGAATGGAGTGGGCGCTGGCCCCTCAGGCACCACCTTTGAACACCTGAGGGACGCTGCCTTAGGAAACACAGACATTTTCCTACAGTTGCACGCACTTACGAACACTGCGCTGGCCGGTAAACTTAGCTCTGAAGCGGCAGAACTTCTCACAGCATCACGGCTGCTCGCATTCGCCAAGCCACATGGGGGTACACGGCCGATTGCGGTGGGCGAGTGCCTGCTACGGCTTGTCGCCAAAGCGGCATTATTCCTGGCGGCCGAGAAGGCACGTGAACACTTCGCTCCGCTCCAATTCGGCGTGGCGATAGCTGGCGGCATTGAAGCAGCAGTGCATACCGCCAGAACGTACCTGGAGGAGAATACAGGGGCTGTGGCGCTGCAGATTGACCTAGCGAACGCCTTTAACGCGGTCGAGCGAGCGGCGGTGTTCGATGGCCTGAAAGGGACCAGCCTGGAATTCTTAGTGCCCCTGGTCCGGCTTACCTACGGCGTCCCCTCGGCGCTGCACCTCGACCACGAGTTTCACGCTCCCCCCCTGCAGTCCGCGCGCGGCGTACGTCAAGGGGACCCGCTGGGCCCGCTTCTCTTCGCCGCTAGCATACACCCTTGCCTGGTAGCTGCGGCGGAAGCACATCCGGGAGTCGTCTTTCTCGCGTACGCTGACGACATTACTCTCCTGGGGGAAGCTGAGGCGTGCACGGAGGCTTTCACTCACCTCACCACCGCCCTGCTATCCCTCGGCCTGGAACACAACCCCGAGAAGTGCGCGGCGTGGTCAGCCGCGCACACTGACCCCGCCTCCCTCCCTGCGCACGTACCTTTCTCGGCGGATGGGATCCGCGTCTTGGGGAGCCCAATCGGGCCGCAGGCAGGATGCGCGGCCTTGGTGCAGGAGCGCCTGTCGGCAGCAGCAGAGCCACTTCCGCTCCTCCGCAGCTGAGCCTGCTCCTCCTGACACGCTGCGTGAGCCGCCGCGCCTCGTACCTGGTTAGGACAACGCCCCTGGAGGTGCTGCCAGCAGACACTTGGTCGGCGTGGGGGGAGCAGCTGCTGCACACGTACCTGACCGCGGCGCACACGGCGATACCGCGGGATGAGGCGGAGCGGGGGAGAATCTGGCGGCAGGCCGCGTTACCCGTGACACTGGGCGGCCTCGGCATCACCAATCCAGCAACGGAAGGGGTGTTCGCTTACCTAGCCTCGGTCATCTCCTCCGCCCACCTGCTGCGCTCGTTCGGTGACATTTTGCACCCCGCAATAGACCAGCTGCTGCCGCTACTGGATGCAAACGCCGACTCACCCTCGGTCCTGCCTCGGCGCCTTGCAGCGGCAGAGGCCACGCTGCCCCCGGATGGGCTGGAGGCTCTACAGGCCGGCCGGCGCGGTACAGATGGCCTGAAGCTACAGCAGGCCTTGTCGCTGGCCGTTCACACCGCTCGCTACATCGAGGTGCTCGATGCCTCGCGGGAGATGCCTCTGAACCCGCTCTTCGGCCACACCCAACGCCTGCAATCACTCCTCGGCCCCGGGGCAGGAGATTGGCTGCTGGCCATCCCCCTGACCCCAGCTCTTCGCCTCGGCCCCCCGCAGCACGCCACCGCATCCTCCTTCCGGCTAGGCCTCCCCCTACCTGTCCCTCGTCGTTGCGACTGCCGTCACCGCACAACCTTCCCGGACCACCGCCTCCCCAACCACCTAATGCGTTGCGAGAAAGGCGGCGGGAGAATTGCCACTCACCATGCTCTTCGTGATGAGTGCGCAAGGATTGCGGCGGAGGCGGGCTACACGGTGCACAAGGAATCCACAATTTACTCACCGGTCGAAAACCTGAAAGCGGATGTTTGCATCCGCCATCCCGACACCGGCGAGGTCCACATGTGCGACATCACCGTGACGGACCCTGTCTCTCACCAGGACGAATACGCACGTAAGGCACCGGGGTGGGGGGCTAGGATGCAAGCCGCGAAGAAGGAGGACAAGTACGCTCGACGGAACGCGTGGGTAGGCTTCCACGCCATGGCGGTCGAGACATACGGCTACCCCTCCCCGGGAGTACACGACTTCCTCCGCAGCTGTGCCGAGCTCGCGGGCAAGCGGCGGTTCAACGCAGCGCCAAAATCGAGGGAGGTGGCCAGGCTGCTCACGGAATACCGGCAGCGCTGGAGCGTCACACTCCAGCGCGCCCAGGCCAATGCCCTCCGCGACAAGACCCACGAGGCCTTCGCCGCGGACGAGCTCGGCCTGCAGGGACCGTTTGGCTGCCTAGGGGAGGAGCAGCTGTACCAACTGCTGGAAGACCCTACCGGCCAATAGGGTCGTGGGGAGAAGGGGCAGGCGATGGAGAAGTTGTAGTACTTACCTGTTTGTTGCTTGTTGAGTCTTGTTTGTTTGTTTAGATTAGCTTACGCTTAGTACCTCTGTGTGTTCTGCCTTGCTGATTAATACGAAGGACCATTCGAGAGAGAGAGAGAGAGAGAGAGAGAGAGAGAGAGAGAGAGAGAGAGAGAGAGAGAGAGAGAGAGAGAGAGAGAGAGAGAGAGAGAGAGAGAGAGAGAGAGAGAGTGTGGACTGGATGTCACAGGTGGTGGCAAGAGATGCCACCCGCTGGTAAAACGAGCATCCTTGAACGTTTTCTATATTTCTAGATTTAATTAGCATCCTTGACCCACCTGTTGAAGAGCTGTGGACGGGCCACTTGATGCGCCGCCAAGGCACCAGACGGTGCCCCCAAGGAGTGCGGGTTGGCGGCAGGTGTGGAAGCAGCAGAGGGAGCAGGTTCAGCAGCAGGAGGGGCGGGCAGAAGGAGCGGCGGCATGGGGAGTTCAGTGTCAGCCAGAGGGGGAAGGAGGAGTTGTGTGCGGTGAGGAGGGGGAGGTGGAAGAATGGATTGGCGTGGGATGGTGGTGGCGGTGGTAGCAGTGGTGCTATGGGTGGGGAAGGGTTGTGCTGATGCTGCTGCTGCTGTGGCTGGTGGTGCACCCGGCGGGTGTGGCAGGGGGTAGAGCGCCTGCTGCAGCTGTGACAGCACATCACCTATCTCGTCGCCCTGAGACACCATGCCTTGCACCAGGTCAGGGCCGAGCTGGAGAGGCATGGATAGGGAGATAGGAAGGGACCATAATAAGCATTCGACCATCCATGAACAAGATAGGAAGGTGCACGTCACCTATCTCGTCCCCCTGAGACACCATGCCCTGCCCTGCAACAGGTCAGGGCCGAGCTGGAGGGGAGAGGAGTGTGGGAAGGGGGGAGACAGAAAGGGACAATGCTGTGACTGCTGCAAGGTGCCTTTTGAGTCGACTCAAAAGTCACTGCGGGAGAAAGGAAGGGACAATGCTGTGGCTTCTGCAAAAGGTGTGTGTGGCAGGGAGTAGAGAGCCTGCTGCAGCTGCGACAGCACATCACCTATCTCGTCACCCTGAGACACCATGCCTTGCACCAGGACCGGGCCAAGCTGCGCAGGAAAGAGGGAGCGAGAAAGTGTGGGTGGGGATAGGCAGCGTGGGTGGGGGGCGGATAGGCAGCGTGGGTGGGGGGCGGATAGGCAGCGTGGGTGGGGGGCGGATAGGCAGCGTGGGTGGGGGGCGGATAGGCAGCGTGGGTGGGGGGCGGATAGGCAGCGTGGGTGGGGGGCGGATAGGCAGCGTGGGTGGGGGCCCCAGCGTGGGGGCCCCAGCGTGGGTGGGGGCCCCAGCGGGAGGGCAGGCAGAGTGTGTGGGGATGACGCGCATTCAAGCAACCATGCTCACACAAGCACATCGCCTTCCCGTCACTCACACATCCCATCCCACCCATGCCCTGCCCACCCATGCCCCACCCACCCATGCCCCACGCACCCATGCCCCACGCACTCCCCCCCACCCGCCCATGGCCCACCTATCCACGCTCAGTGTTTATCACTCGTGGCACCAGCACTCAACCCTAAGCTATGTCTTTGCCAGTTGCAGCATGGGCACCCATGAGCACCCCTCAGCACCCATCTCTACCCACCCTCACCTCTGTCTTTGCAACTTGCGGCATGAGCATTCGCCCCAACGTGCGCAGAGCAGAAAGGGGAGCTCGCATCTGGTGATTTCAGAGTGAGCGGTGGGAAGAGGGGAAAGGAGGGGAGGAGTGCGGGGCAAAGAGGGGGGCACGCATCTGATGGGAGGCTGAGAGGTGGGAAGAGGGGTTAGAGGGGTGTAAAGGCGAAGGGACAAGGGGGGAGAACATCCAATTTTTGAAGGGCGAACGGTGGGAAGAGGGGGAAGAGGGAAATGGGGGAAGGGGGGAAGGGGAGAGAGGGGGGCGCTGCATCTGATGATTGCAGTGCAAATGGTGGGAAGAGGGAAGAGAGGGGGAGGGGTCGGGGAAATGAAGGGAACACTCAGCTGACCTAGTCCAAACAGAGGAATGAGGGGAGGGGTTAACTGACCTGGTCCAGCAGTGAGTCGATGGTGACTGTGCGCTGCCACAGCGACTGCTGCATCATCCATGCCCTCTGATGACATACAGGTGGGGACACCAGCAAGAACGAGTTTTGAGAGAGGTGAGGCTCGTGGCACCTCGATACAAAGTCCCATCAGAACCACTGACCTGATGGGTGGGACATACACACATGGCACAGACTTTTGAGGCGCCTCAAAAGAGAGGTGAGGCTCGTGGCACCTCGATACAAAGTCCCATCAGAACCACTGACCTGATGGGTGGGACACACACACATGGCACAGACTTTTGAGGCGCCTCAAAAGAGAGGTGAGGCTCGTGGCACCTCGATACAAAGTCCCATCAGAACCACTGACCTGATGGGTGGGAGACACATGGCACAGAGACGAGATGTCTTTTGAGAATTCTCAAAAGTAAACTCCTTCTGAGAATTCTCAAAAGTAAACTCCTTCTGAGAATTCTCAAAAGTAAACTCCTTCTGAGAATTCTCAAAAGTAAACTCCTTCTGAGAATTCCCAAAAATAAACTCCTTCTGAGAATTCTCAAAAGTGAGCTCCACATAGCTGGGACACACATGGCACAGCGAGAGAAACAGGAGCAACAGCATCGCTCCCTCACAAGTCATAACCAGGAGACGAGATAGGCCAAGTGTAGGTAGCAAAGCAACAGCATAGCTCTCTCAAACAATGTGAGGGAGCTCGTATCTGTTACATCTTGCAAATCATACAAAAAGGGAATCGAAAGAAGACGTATCTGTTACATTCGTAAACAAAAAGAATCCGTACAAGATGTATTTGTTACTCAGCTCACCTGTTCCATGACATAAGCAAAGGCAAGCAAGCGAGACACGCCCACTCCTGCTCGCTGCTCCTCCTCCTCATATGGCTTCAACTGAACCCACTCAACCTGCCCTCCCTCCACCTCACATGCTTCCACCCTTAGAGGCAACTCAAAGCTCACCTGTTCCATGACGTATGCAAAGGCAAGGGAGCGAGCTACGCCCACTGCTGCTCGCTGCTCCTCCTCCTCATACGGCTTCAAATGAACCCACTCCACTTGCCCTGACCCCACCTCACTGCTTCCACCCTTAGATGCGACTCAAAGCTCACCTGTTCCATGACGTATGCAAAGGCAAGGGAGCGAGCTACGCCCACTGCTGCTCGCTGCTGCTCCTCCTCATACGGCTTCAACTGAACCCACTCCACTTGCCCTGACCCCACCTCACTGCTTCCACCCTTAGATGCGACTCAAAGCTCACCTGTTCCATGACGTATGCAAAGGCAAGGGAGCGAGCTACGCCCACTGCTGCTCGCTGCTCCTCCTCCTCATACGGCTTCAACTGAACCCACTCCACTTGCGCCCCCCCTTCCTGCCCTCCGTTCGCCTGTTCCCCACCCACCTCCCCACTCCTCCGCTCCCTCGTTCCCTCTCCTCGCCCCTGCCGCCCTCCCCCCTCACTCTGAACCCTCCTCTTGCTTTCCACGCTCTCCACTTCATCCTCCCGCACTCCCCTTCTCCCTATCTCACCCTCTCCCCTCCTCTCTGGCCGTCTCAGCACCCACTGCTGCAGTCTACCCACTGCTCCCACTCCCCCTCCTGACCTTCCTCCTCTCCCTCCTCCCCCTCCTCCAACTCCTCCTCCTCCATCTGAACTTCGTGTTCTTGAGTGTCCCCCTGGGTCCCCTGGGTTGTCCCTCTTTGCACCATTCACACTCGACTCCTGGCGTTGCGCCTCCTTCTCACTCACTGCTTCTGCAGGTGGAGGGAAGCAAAAGTATATTGCACAATGTTCATGTGGCTCTGTCTTGCCACCGGCTTTAAAATGATCATATCAACCCGTCCTAAGCCACTGACTCAGCAGCACCGAATTACATTATTGCAAAAAAAAAAAAAAACAAAAAAAAAAAAAAAAAACAAACAAACAAACAAACAAACAAACAAAAAACAAACAAACAAACAAAGGAGAAGCATACTACTACCTGATGCTGGCACTGGCAGCAACTGGCGATGCAACACGAGCAGGCCAAGCAGGAAGGAATCTCTTGTTAGTGCCACCACCACCAGCGGTACAAACTCACACTCAAAACACACTAGCGGTGAGAGCAGCAGCACACATACCTGGGGGCGGTGCATCTGTGGGTGGCAGTGGCAGCAACTGGCGGTGCAGCACGAGCAGGCCGAGCAGGAAGGAGTCTCTTGTCAGTGCCACCACCAGCGCCCCCTCGCTCTCCAGTGATATCACCTGTTGCATGCGTTTGCACCAAGAAACATGGGTTGGAAACAGCTGCGACCACCAGTGTGACCTCGATTGCACACAATATATCACCTGCGGACCGTATACTCGATTTCACACAATATCACCTGTGGCATATACTCGCATTCCAAGCTACAAATACAACTGCAGTGCCATGCGGTGCAGTGCAACGTGGTGCAGTGCAATGTGGTGCAGTGCAATGTGGTCTCCAGGCTCGGCCTAGGATGAAGTGCTGGCTGTGCTTGCCAACAACTCTCCCTTCCCGCCACTCACCGCGGAAATAAACACACAGATGGTCAAAACTCGAATCAAAGAGGACGAAACGCTATGCAGTGCTGTGGCATGGATGGATGCTGAGCTTAAGGATTGTGAACATGAAACCCCACTGCAACTGGTACGCAATGCTGAAATCTTTCTGTACAAGCACGTTTTTCTTATAATAATAATAATAATAATAATAATAATAATAATAATAATAATGATGAAAATAATAATAAAAAATCCGTATGCTGTACAGTACACAGTGCCCACCTCTTTCTGTACAAGCACGGCTTCTATTGAAGGCGGGAGCTTCGCAATAGGCGGCTCGTTCCCCACCTCCTCCTCCTCTTCTTCCTCCTCCTCGCTCACCCCTTTCACCTCCCCCCCTTCCCCTCCTCCATCCTCTCTCCCTCCTCCCATCTCCCCCTGTGTGCTTTGGTAACGTGCCATGTCTCGGGCCCCGGGCAGCCTTCTCACCACTCGAAACAATTCAATCTGCCCGGATAGGAAGCTCTCTGGCGTACGAAGGTAGAGCTGCAGGAGGGGGCAGGACAGAAGGGGGAGCATCTCAGAACTCCCAAAAGTGATTCAAGTAAAGCTTTGAGACGTCTCAGAACTAGGTTTGAGGCGTCTCAGAACTAGGTTTGAGGCGTCTCAACAATTTGTGAAGTTCCTCTTCCTGCCACACTTTCTCTGGCTCTTTTCTTTAGCTTCCAATGCAAAGCGTTTCGCACCCACACTCACTGTTATTCTCGTCGGCTGAGCGCCGCAGCAGCACACAGCCACCCCCAGCACGTCCAGCTGTGCGTGGCACAGTGCCAGGAATCCACCTCGTCTTTAGTCTTTCGTCTTCCACGCACAAACCTACCGTTATTCTCGTGGGCTGAGACCCGCAGCAGCGCAGATCGCGGTCCCCATCACGTCCAGCTGAGCGTGGCAACAGGAGCAAACACCATATGAGCACACCCACGCACACACTCACTGTAATTCTCGTTGGCTGAGCGCCGCAGCAGCGCAGCGCAGTCCCCATCACGTCCAGCTGAGCGTGGCACAGCGCCAGGAAATCTGCACTCGGTGCTCCCAAGGGCCGCCCCTCCGTGGCCTGTGCCTGCCCCTGGCCGCCCTCGAACCACCCTTGACTCGCTTGACTCTCTTGACTTGTTTGACTGCCTTGACTAGTTTGACTTTCTTGACCGCCTTGATACCATTCGTCGCTGCTTTGACTTGTTTGACTTTCTTGACTGCCTTGGGATGCTGACCATTGGAATGAGGACCCTTGGGTACCCCATGCGTCCGAACCCCACTCCCCACTGCTCCTGCTCCTACTACTGCCACTGCTCCCCCTAGTGCTCCTATCACTGCTATCACTCTCACTATCCGACTCACTCGAGTAATTATACCCTTTACCAGCAGCCCTTCTATCCCCTGCATCGCCGTCAACCCTCTCTTTGCGCCCCTCTCCGCCTTTCCCCCCCCCCTCCGCCTGGTTCTCCGCCTCCCCTTCCCCCTCCCCCTTGGCCTGCCCTCCGCGAATGGACGCTGAAGCGACTCCCAGCGCCGTCGCAATCACCCACGCGGCCTGTGCGATGTCCACTTCAATGTCGCCCAGTCCGCCCCCGCCAAGAATCGCACGCGACGACTCTCCCCCCACGCGTGCCCTCCCCCTCGCCTCTTCCGCAGCCGCCTCCGCCGTCGCGGAGCGTCCTATCGGGAGCGCAAATCGCCGGCGACGCCCCCGTCCCCCCGCGTCCATTTCCCCCAACTGCGCGTCCCTTCCGCCGAGAAGAAGCGCGCGCGCGACGAGCGGGCGCCAATCGCGGCCGCGCATTTCGGCGTTCCGCCATCCCAGGTGGCAATCCGCGCCATCCCGAGGCGGCCATCCTTGCAAACAATTCGTCCCCCTTCCCCGGTGACCGGTCCCAGCGCGCATTACATTGCCACTAGCTGCGCGCATTACATTGCCACTAGCTGCGCTAATAACTGCACCGACAACGTCACCCCCGTTGCTAAAACTCCCGCCCGCAGTAGACGGAGCAACCAGAACGCCATGGCTCAATCTGGATGATGACGCGGCACAGCCGAGAGGAGGCCGCGGGAATGCGGAGCGCACTTCCATTTGCGCGTCTGCGCGGATTTGTGACAACACTTGGGAATACTTACTCGAAATTCGCCAATGTGCTGTGTGATACACCAGACCGATTCTTACCCTACTATACACAAACGGTGTAATCACATACTATCGCTGGAAATTCGACGCTGAAGTGGCACGGTCAAGCAGAGGTCGCGAAGGCGATGCAGGCCGCATAGCTGACGAAAGGCCGTCAACCATACAGTAACCCTGGTAAGAACTAATGCACGAATCTTTCTGTAGCGCGGATACCACAACTGCTGGTGGTTGTCAGAGCCAGGGACGTGATTTCCAGCGTTCGTGGTTGGAACGACTGCTAAGGAGTACTTAAAAGATTTCTCTTTTATGGTAGCCTTTTTCCCGCCAACGGCGCTGTGCAAAGGACAGATTCTGCCGAGGTGTACGGTACGACGAACTCAATCCACGTCATGGCGAGAAGACATGGTCGGACAGCAGCTGATACAAGAAATGTAGCGTGCATCACAAGCAAGCTGGGGTAAAATTCGTGGTGGGGGAGGAAGTGAAGAGACGAATTAGGGCGTGTAAGATCCCCGTGCACACAGACTCGGCCATCAAAATTAGGTGCCGTAGCGAAAGTAACCATTTCGTGATCGGTTTGCGAATCTCGTCGATTTCGGCCATCAAAATTGTGATTTGATGGCCGAAAAACCCAGTCGACTCTTTTCCGACGCGTGGTCGACTTCAAATCGGCCATGCTGTCGACAACAGCTGGCCACAGTAAAAAACGAAGTCGCAAACGCTGCTACAGTGAAATTGCGACGTCGGATACATGTATGCGACGTCGTCGCACCAAGTCGGAAAAAAAGACAAACCGAAATCTTCCACCTCTGTTTTTTCGGCCAGCAAACCCGTGTCATATTTGGAGGCCACATTGAGGTGGCCGAAAATTTGTCGGCCTGGTGACGACTCATCCGTCGACCTTCGCGAAAGCTTTGTCGACCAAAATGGTCGACAAAATTCAGCCAAAACGTGTGCACGGGGATCTTACACGCCCTTAGGACTCATAAAATTCGGCCACAATCCGTCGGGCCGTTTTTGCGAAGGTAACCAGTTTGCGATATACGTAAGTCAATTGGCGACATTCGCCTTTTTCGCAAAAATATCGAATTGAGGCCGTTTAAAAAGTCGACACGGAAACGACGCCGAGTCGACTCCAAAACGGCCAAGAAGTCGACACAGCGTGCGACATCGCCTGCGATGTCGCACGTTTTCGCCCAACGACAAATTTTGTGATCGCGTCAAATGAGAAAAATCGTCGTCAGAAGGGCGACCCCGTCGCACATACTCAACTACTGTAGCAACTGCAAATTTAACAACTTTTCCGAACCAGCCTGCAATTCGGCCACCAAAGTTGTTAAATTGCCAAAACTGACAATGGTGGCTGAAAATGAGTCAGAATCGGCCACCTCGTCGTTGTTCGCGAAAAATATGACGACCATTTGGTCGTCGAAAATTCGGCCACACCCCATTTTCGGAATTGTGAGGGGATTTAAAGCGACGGTGCACATTTGCCACCCAAAACCCAGAACCCTGGCGAACTGTTACTGCAGATGAAAAGTGTCTGCACGAAATCCTGGTTTTCGCCAGCCAACACACGCCCTTAGGTATGATGGAGTGGAATCGGGGTTGGGAAATTTCTGGGGGAAAATCCCAGAGATCCATTCGTTGGGTGAAATCGAGGGGCCTCGAGAATTCCGAGCAATGACGTGGCAGAAGCTTGCAACGTCAGACGATGCAGGTGCTGACACGTGACACAAATTTTTACCGACTTAATCAGCTTCGCTACGCGTTGTTTTCAGTAGGTCAACATGATGAACGACGTTTATGGAAAATCTGATCAATTTACCTCTCCACTTACCATGGGGAACCTAACCTGAGCTTTCCATGATTACAGGTTTTACAATATGTAGGAAGGTAACTCAAGGCAACTGCACCCAAATCCCTTTGGCAATACAAAATCTTAGCCTACCAGTACCATTACTGAACAAGCAACTACACCACAGACTAGGTGTCAGTCACTACAACTATCTTACACGACCAGGGAAACAAAATAAAGAATCACAAGACAATGTTGCTGACAGGAGGCAGTATCAAAATCGTGTTGTAGCCTCAAAGCGGTACCGGTACATGGTTTTCAAGAAACCCGTCGATTTACTGCAACCTCTGCTAGCCGCTACTGGCCGTGCAGCAGCAGCAGCTTGAGCGTGTGGTTGGGCGAGAGGTGCTTGTGGGGGAGGGGCTAGCCGGTGAGCAGCGAGACAGAGTGCGCGGCGAGACAGAGTGCAGCAATGTAATTCGCTTCCTGCAGCTGCTAGTGCCCCTGCAGCAGCAGCAGCTTGAGCGTGTGGTTGGGCGTGAGGTGCGTGTGGGGGAGGGGCTGGCCGGTGCGCGGCGAGACGGAGTTGGAGAGCAGCCAGCGCTCGATGCTGCTGCGCTCGTACGTGAAGCCGTCCGCTGCCACCACCGGGTCTGTCATGAGCTTCTGGAAAGGGGGAATGGAGGTGAGAGAATGAGAGGCTTTGAATGAGTTTAAGTGGAGTGGAAATTGTAGGTGAACTCGTCTGCTGCCACTGGGTCGATCATGCTCTTCTGCAGGTGGGGGGGGTAGTTGGGAGGCTAGAAGGAGAGGATGAGAAGGAACTGGCGTTCATATGCGACAAAGGGCACATGTATTTGCATGCGGCAGCAGCAAGTTGCACAGCTCGTGTTTTGAGACATCTCAAAACAGTAAGCAAGGGACAACAACACTCACATGGGACAGCAGACAGATGCACTCACCTGCGAGAGCGGGCACATGCACTGCTCGTCGAAGCTCCTCCTTCGCTTCCCCATCTCCCCCTCCGCCTCCTCCATCACCTCCCCCATCGCCGGCTGCACCACCTCCACCAGGCTCGGCCGAGCCTCCCGCTGCCGAACCGCACACCGGAGCGCCAGCTCCGTCAGCTTCCGAGCCACAGGCACGGGCCATTGCCCCCCCGAACCATCAACCTCCCTCACTATCTCCTCCACAGTCCTAGCCAGCACCCTTGTACTGTCCATCTCAACCGTCTGAAACCCACCACCACGCATGCCCACTCCTCCCAACCCTACCGCACCCATGCTCCTCCCTATCCACTCCTGTATCTTCCCCATCCTCCGATGCAACTCCTTCACATTCGGCTCCCCCAGCAGCAGCTGCAAGGCAATCAGCCCAAACGCATACACATCTGAAAGAACCGAAATCTCACAAGTCTCTAGCTCCTCAGGGTCTATATACCCCACTGTGCCTCTCACCCGTGCGGTTACATTTTCCACGTCACTGAGTAACCGCGCGAGGCCCACGTCGGCCACTTTGGAGGCGAGGCTTGTATCGAGCAGAATATTGTCGGGCTTTAAGTCGCGGTGCGCGATGGGCGGGTCGTTCTGGTGAAGGTACATCAGCGCCCCGGCCACCTCAGATAAGATTCTCACCCGGTCAAACCAAGTCAACGGTTTCCTCCCACCCCGGCTGCTCCCCGCTCCCCCACTCGCACCAACCACACCACCGGCAACACCTGCACCACCCGCACCACCCGCACCACCCGCACCACCCGCCCCTCCCACTCCTCCCACACCACCACCCTTGCTGTTCCCAGCAGCAATCGCATCAAGGCAATCCTGCAAGCTCCCTCCAGGCAAGTACTCATACACAAGACTCATCTCATCAGGGCAGTGACCCATGAGCAGCACTATATGCGGGTGCCGCATCCGAGACAGCACCTCCACTTCCATTCTATACTCCGCACTGCCCTGCCACCCGCCCCCTTCCAGCCGTTTCACTGCCACCATGCAGCCTAAGAGACGGCCCTTGTACACCGTGCCGAACGAGCCTCGGCCGAGCCTGTTCTCCGCCGCCCAGCTGTCGGTGGCTCGGGCGAGCTGGTCCGGGGAGAACTGCCGGCACTCCGCTGTGGATGTGGAGAGACCTGACAACAAGCCTCCTGCCTCGTCCGCCTGTGCGCCTGAGACGGCTCCGCTGCTGCCGCTGCCGCCTTCGCCGCCGCCGCCACCGCCGCTGCCGCTGCCGCCACCGCTGCTGCCACCACCGCAACCGCCGCCACCGCCACCGCCGCTGCTGTTGCTGCCTCGGCCCTGGGAATGACCCTGCGTAACAAACCCCTGGAAAAAGGAACCCTGGGAATTACCCTGCGGAACAAACCCCTGGGATCCCGGGGAAACGGAACCAAATCCGCCGCTGTTGCCCTTTCTAACCCTGCTGCCCCCGTTGCTGCTGCCCCCGCTGCCGTCGTTGTCGCCACTGCTGCTGCGCCATGCGCTGCCATGGTTTCCTGCAGCAGCAGTGTTTTCAGGCGCAACAGCAGCAGCAGTAGCAGCAGTGGCAGCGGCGGCGGTGGCGGCGGCAACAGCAGCAGCAGCGTCAGCAGGAGTAGCAGCAGCAGCTACACCTGCTACCACACGAGGTCTGATGAGCGTCTCGCCCTCCTCCTCGTCACTCTCACCATAAGCCGCTAGCTCGTCTTTCAAAGACATGAGAGACCCGCTCCCTCCCCCCACCGCTCTCACACGCCCTGCTGCCGCTCCTGCTGCTGCGGCTGCTCCAGCCGTTGCGGCTGCTCCTGCTCCTGCTGCTCCTGCTGCTCCTGCTCCTGCTGCTCCTGCTCCTGCTGCTCCTGCTGCTCCTGCTGCTCCTGCTCCTGCTGCTCCTGCTGCTCCTGCTCCTGCTGCTCCTGCTCCTGCTGCTGCTGCTCCTGCTGCTGCTGCAACTACTCTGGCTGAAGGAAGGGGGGAAACAGCCGGGCTGCGTGTCACCTTCTCTTCCACCCCTCCAAACACCCCCTGAAACCCGCCGTTCCGGGCGCTGATAACTGGCGGCCTTTGAGTCGACTCAAACCCTCCCTGAAACCCGCCGCTCTGGTTGCTAATCGCCGACATTCCATAATCCGGCCCGTTCCTTCCTCTGCTCGAACCCGCCGCGTCACCCGCTTGCACGCGCTCTGTTCTCTCTGCAGGATCCGTGTCACGCCTCTGCAAAACCGCTCTGCCTGTAGGGATGAACTCAATCCCCGCCTTCCCCTCATACGCCGCTTTCCCGCCCTCTCTCCGGCTCACACGCGCAAGGTCGTACGCTTGCAAGCCCTCGCTCTTGCCAGCAGGACTCCCTTCATACTCAGTTTGACTGTCTCTCGTTCTGCTCCTCTGAACCATCACGCCTGACTTTTGAGTCGACTCAATAGTCACCTTGCCAGCAGGACCTCCTTCATACTCCGTTTGGCTGTCTCTCGTTCTGCTCCTCTGAACCATACCCCCCAGCCTGCCCGTCTCCCCTCCCCTGCTCCTGCTCGTCTCGCTCCCTCTTTCAAGGGAGATCGCTCCGCTTGCAGGCGCAAGGTCGTACACCTGCAACGACTTTTGAGGCGCCTCAAGAGTCGCCTCGGTTCTGCCAACAGGGGCCGGGTCATAGTCCGTTATGCTGTCTCTCGTTCTGCTCCTCGGGACTAGGGGCCCCAACCGACCCGCCTCCCCTCCACTGCTCTTGCCCGCCTCACTCTCCCTCTCGTACACAATCAAGCTGCTGCTACCGAACCTCCCATGGCCGAACCTCCCTTCGCTGGACCTCCCATTGCCGGACCTCCCATCGCTGGACCTCCCGTCGCCGGACCTCCCATTGCTGGACCTCCCGTCGCCGGACCTCCCATCGCCGAGCCTCCCATCGCCGGACCTCCCGTCGCCGGACCTCCCATTGCCGAGCCTCTCATCGCCGAGCCTCCCATCGCCGAGCCTCCCATCGCCGAGCCTCCCACTGCTGAGCCTCCCATCGCCGAGCCTCCCATCCCCGAGCCTCCAGCTCTTGAGATTGCCGCCAGGAGAATCCCCAGGGCTTTTCCCAGCTGATGCGGGCCTGCCGCCGTCAAAAGAGCGTCTTCCAATGACCTCCATTTTCTGTTCCGATTTTTTAGGGACGACATTTGGCTCGGGGTGAATCTGCGACCAGTCTTGGGATCCGTGCGAGGAGATGTTGCGGTTTCCGTAGGAGCTGAAGAGCGGGAAGGGGTTCAAAGCATGGTCCGGTTTCGATCCGATGGTGTTAGCCCGTGATGCTGACTGATCGAGCGGTTCTGCTGCTGCTGCTGCTGCTGCTGCTACTGCTGCTGCTGCTGCTACTGCTGCTGCTGCTACTGCTGCTGCTGCTGCTGACGTGTCGCTGTCTGCCCACACTCGGCGCGCTCCCAGACCGCCAGCTGGAGCCGGCGCCAGGTCAGGCGACGCCACGTAAGCGGGTCGTGATTGGCTGGTTGTTGACATGTCCAAGGAGCGACGACCGGTGTAGACGGATTGTTGCTGTGGTTACAAGGGCGCGAGGGAGGGAGAGAGACGAGGGGGAGAGAGGAGAGACGTTTGAGGCGCCTCAGAAACCGTTGAGTTAAGATTAAAACCGCATTGGTTCTTACAGGGAGTTTCCAGGCGCCTTAAAAGGAGCTACGGCCGGCGAAGTCAGTAGTTATAAGGGAACGAAGGAGGGATAGGAGTTTCAATAATGAAGAGACGAAAGACGAGAGAGAGGACGATGGAGAGGGAGAGGAATCGAAAATGGTGAAGGGACCAGGACCAGAAACCGAACTGCAAGCCTGGCGCTGTGAAAGGGTGTGTGAGGGAGAGAGACGAGACGAGGGAGATGGAGCAGGAGGGGAAGGGAGAGGAAGCGTCGAGCAGCATTTTGAAAAAAATGACAGTGTGACGACGGCGGGAGTGAGGGAAAGCGATGGCGAGAGGGATGGAGAAGGAGAGGGAGGGAGAAGAAGGGGCTATTTGTAAGTAAGAAAAGCGACGGTGGGTGTATGTTTCGAGTCGCCTTAAACCAAAAAACAGAGAGAAGGAAGGGAAAGAGGAAGCGGATGGAAACAAAACGACGGTGGGCGCATGTGCGGCGCGAGAGACGGGAGTCACATGGGTGCGTGGGATGTGTCAATGATAGAGTGAGTCGGCGCCTCGCTTGCTTCTTGAGGATTTTTTTCGTTTCCAATACTAATTCCTGGTATTGCATTAAGATGTAGGGGATCGTTGGTCCGAAAGAAACCATTCGCGTGTACCTGATTTTCCATCAAAATGACGCGCCACCTACAAATTACAAGGCCAAAAGGGTAGAACCGTCAGCGTACCGAGGGAGAGACTTCCGCTGACGGAAATAGCTGCGAAACGTCGAAGGAGTCATCGCGTCTCCGAATAATTACCGGCTTTCCCGCCGCGCGATGCGCATCGCTGCTCTTCGGACGCGAAACACCAACGCTTGCACCAACACTTGCACCAGAACTTGCACTACTGCTGCTACTCCTAATCGGCGACAAAGCGCTTTTCGGCGACACCTGGCTTTCCGACAAACCTCCGCCAATTCCGGGCGTGCTTTGCGGCCCTGAATGTCCTCTTATGGCATGATGCGACGCGGCTGGAGGCGACGAGCGCGCGATAGGGACGACGCGAGACTCGTCTGCGAACGAGCCTGCTCTTAGAAGCGCGAAATCCCGCTGGTTCTCTGGTGATAGTAGCCGTTTGCTGCTGTCGTTCCTTGGACCCTCCGCGATTCGCCATGTGACAGTTGACATGGCGGACTTTTTTTGGATAATCCCTTTTAGAAAAGGAACAGAAGCTAAGAGGATTCACTCGAGGGTCAAGGTTCTATCAAATGGAGAGAGTGGAGATGGTTCAGAAAGGGAGGGGGAATGCTAGAATAAGAATGACAATGGATGAATGGAAGAATGGGCTGCTGAACTTCGGAGCATATGATCTGAGGTCGCGTCGCCTCCCCCCCAGTCTTGCGATCAACCGTGAGTATGGATCATCCACCGTACTTAAATCCTGCTAAATACATTCACAGCTACCGGAAACTCTTCTAACCACGGGAAAAATCGAACCTGCGCAGGGTCAATCGGAGGAGAGGATAGGAGACGCAAGATGGTGGGAGGAGGACGCGTGCGTAGTGGAAAGCTGCCCCCTTCAATGAGATGGTTGTCAACTTGTCATCTCATTCCCGAGCCTAGAGATGAGATGCTCATGCGCCTGCCGAACAGGGCCTAAACCCGATGAGATGGTTTGTGGCCCCGCTGTCTTGCATTCCCCAAGGGTTCACCCACATGCTGTTGACGGGCGACCGTTCAGTTGGAGCCGAAATACGAAACCGCTTGTTGCGATGCACCCACGGCAGTGTTCTCTAGGCACTGGCGAGGGAGCGCGAGGGGAAATAGGAATCTTCCCCTGTCTGCGTTTTTTGGTCGAGACTTCGGTCAGCCCGTAAAATCGTGCCGAACCTCCTATTTGCCCTCCGAAGGTAAATGCCAATAGAACGCTCATTTACCCTCCCCACCTTCCTCCTCAGGCAAAATTTGCCTCCCTCGCCCCCCATTCCGGCAACCACCCTTCACGGGGAAGTGGGACAGCCATGCGAGGGAGGAGCTGGGGGAGGGAAACCGACGTTCTGCCCGTGAAATTAAAGACTGCGTGACTGCACGCCCCAAACACACGCAAAAGAACCAGAAAAAAAAAAAACCACGTCCCCTTCAGTGAGGTGTTTGTTCCTGGCGAGGTGTTTTTTATCAAGAAGGAGTCACCCTGGATTTTGTTTGTACCCTTTTTGCCTGTTCCCTCCAAATGCGATACCCCCATTTCTGGAACAGGAAAATGTACCCCCAGGTTCGTCATTTACCGTCGGAGCCTTCCCCACCAAGCGCGCGAAATTTCCCGTCTTCGGTTGTAGCGGGAGGTGGAGAAATCGAGCCCCGAAACACCCTCGGAACCATCATCAATTACACTCGCCCCCACCTCCCCCCACCGCAGGAGTCACCAGAACACCACCAATGCAATGCAATGGATATTTCCTCTGCTTTCTTGCAATTTCCCCACTCCACACAGCCATTCTTTGAAACCGTGGCGTTTCAATCTTACATTTGTCATTTTCACTGAATGCTGCTGGTGCTGCCACGGTAGTTACAGCTCCACCCAAATTTCGGGCACTGATAAAATTCATGATCCACCACATCAACTCTAGATCTCGAATGGGGCACCTCATGGAAACCACCATTGTTCACGTGAGAAGGGAATCTTTACAAATCCTATAAAGTGCAGTCTTGCACAACACGACCAATGGACAAGAAAGTGTAGAAGGATCTGGCGTCTGAAAATCGGGACCTGATCACGAATATGAGAGGGAAATAGACCTACCCTAAACAAGTAGGCAGACTAATCTCCTCTCCCAACGTATGGGTGTAGACAAGGACGTTCGTTACAGAACCTTTGAGGTAGGGAGTGAGTGGTCACTGAAATCCGTTGTCTGAATCCGGCTTCCCTTTGGTGCTCAGAATCAACACGAGAATGCTCCATCCCCAATCACAAAGTCCGCTATTTGTTTAGAAATTTTTGACCCGCTAAGTACGAGACATTCATGCATAAACCCGTAAAACCCATACGACCCGTATGTGTACCCCACTCTGGCCTCCATTCTGTAGCAGCTCAACAGCAGCCAAGTTGGCAACGACTGGGCATTCCATCCTGGTTATACTAAACAGAAAGTGCTTTCCTTGCACAGAACCATTCGAGCAATAATAACATCCAAGTCCCGAGACCTAACGCTGAGAGGGTGTCAGAACGTTGACACAAGCTGTAGTGTACAGTCAAGGATTCCGGAAAAAAAAAACGGGAAGTCAAAAAAAAAATCCAAAAAGAAATCTGAACGCTAGTCCACGAGGCAGCGGCAGAGTGTACAGCGCATCTACGTCTTTGGCTCCAGATTTGAGCACCATCTTCATGATCACCAAAGGCATGATGGGACTCTAAGGACGCGTCTCCTGAACGACGATCGTGCAAAAACCGATCTTTGAACGCACTGGAAACCTGCGTATTGCATTTAAAAGTTCTATAAGTTTTTTGAACCACGAAAGTTTTCGATCCTACGTAGGATCGATCGCAGGATCGGCGTTCAGGAGACGCGTCCTAAACCCCATGTAACACCAATAGTCTTTCTGAGTGAGGCCAAGCATTGCTCGTAAAGTTGTTATCTCAATCAAATGTCAATCAAAAAATGGAGGTTACAGCTTTGTGACTATGATGTAGGATACAGTATGTATGGTCTTCTAAGCATGTGTGCACCATAACAAGCATGTTCGAATTGTGGTTTTTTTTAAAGGTAGCGAGGCCATGATTTTCCTCGTATATAAATATAGAAGTATGCCATTAACATGTCCCACGAGACATAGTGTGAGTTGCGCATTAGCCACTTTAACATTGTTCATTAATCTGCTGCTTATGGCATTGTCACTTTTGCCCGCAGCCAATGTGCGTACCGCAACTTGAGATAGATGGGATAGATGTGACTGAGGTCAGAGAAATGATGCAGCATTACATATGGTACCATGACATCCTGCGGATGCGGGCACATGAGGGCGAGAAGGTGGTGTGACGGAAGCATAAGAGAGAACAATACTCAATAGCGTGTACGGTAAGTTGAAGTAAGGCACAAGTCACCGACCTAGCACTCACTAAGCAACATGCATTAGTGAGGATGGTTTAGGCGGGATGTGGCTATAGTATTTGCGAGCTGTGCAGCATGCTAAAGTAACGTGGCGACTTTGGAAAGTGTGAAAGCAGAGTAGAAATCACAGTCAACAAAGGAATCGGCTTCTGCTGGTCACTAAATTAATGGGGGAGTTACCATTGTCCAGGAAAGGGATGCGGTACATACTGACGATTGTATATTTCCCCAACACGTGGGTGGAAGCATGGAAAGTTGGAGTAACTTTTTGGTGATAGTAGTAGTCGTGGAACAAATACTTGGAGCCTGTGGGGACGTGCTGACAGATCAAGGCACAGACCTTCCAAGGCAATTTGGATAGATGCTACGAAAGATGGTTATTATGTATAAGAAAACCATGTGGCTCAAATGAGAGGCTGATTCTGTCAGAATTATATTCTTATACCTGCATGTAGTTCTAGCTGTAGTGTAATAATTAACCTTATAGCTGGTGCACCACTTTGTTTGCTATATGTACCCTAGTGCTATAGTGAACAATCATCCTTCACTCATTCTCGACTCCCTCCTTGGCACAAACTACCTCGATTGCCTTGGGCCTAGGCTACTAAGCCTAGGCCCACTTAAACTCAACCACCTTTGTCAAATGATATATATGTGTGATATATATTGGTAGGCTGTAGTGGGGTAGATGTTACCCCAGTGTGAGTGCCACCGCCTGTCGCACGACACGCTCTTGTGGCACCACCGCCTTGGTCACCCCTCCCTGCCTCGCCTTCGTAGCATGCAC